TGATAATCACAGACAAAAAATGGTCCCGTAAATGAAACAATAATAATGATGTAATAGCAATCTTGGAACTTAGGGACAAAATATTTGTTGATAAATTTTCCTCTGTATGAGATATTTTCATCTTGAAAAGGCACTGTCTGGTGTGAATTATCCGCATCTTGAGCCAAATATTTCGTTGCTGTGGAAAGCAGAGACATTATTCATGGTTGAGACTTTCAAATTCGAACCAAACAAATTCTTTTTTGGTAATTTTCAACCAGCGATTTTGTTCACCCAAACAAGATTTGTTTGACAAGGTGTTTGTTTTTCTCTCAACGTACTATTGTCTGTTGTCGTCTACATCTACCGGAGGAATGCCACTGCATCCCTTTGCAGTATCCCTCCATTGGGCCAGTCCAGTAGTCCTTGTGTACACGGAGAGAAATGTTCAGTAAAAATTACGGAACTGACAATTCGCTCACCGATTACGGAGTCGATTCAGAAAATTTAAGTGACGCGATCGTAATTTTTCACAGGAGATTCACATAAAAATTACGGAACGCTCTGGAAAAATCCCGTGACAGTTCCCTAAAATTTCCTACAACCACATTTCGCTCCGGAATTACGGAAAAGATACGTAATTTTTATTGAAAATTTCTCTCCGTGTACGAGGAGGGGGCGAGGCCCAAACAGCGCCTTCACCCCTTGGTCTGGTCGTGGCGTCAGAAGTAGTATGAATGTGGCCGTCCGTGTGTTATTCATGCTCGTATGCGGGTGTTTACAGTTGTTTTGCGATTCATGGGTCATAAGGAATATAGGAATCGGAGAATTAGGAAAAACTGACCCCATGCAATTCGCTATTGTCAAGTATGGATACGATTCATTGCACCACCAAAAAAAAAAAAATTACTTTTGCTCAGTAGAAAAAGTACTTGTATCCAGCACCAGGGGGTTTCTGGGGAAAAGGCACATTTTTGTACTTCCTCGAAGTTACAAAATAACTTGATGCGAGTATCAGGCGCCAAGTACCTGTGTACTGGTGAGAAGTAGCTCAGTACTTGTCACAAGTACTTTTGTTACTTGGGACAAGTAAAAAAATTACTTTTACTCGGCTGGTTCTTTTCAAAAGTACCAAGCAAACTCAATATGAGTTGAGTATAAGAACTCAAAAATATTTTTTTGAAATTAAGTCCTAAAAGTACTTGAGAGAAGTTGGAAAATTACTTTTCACTAGTACTTTCGGTACTTGTGAAAAGTACTAAAAGTACGGGCAGAAAGTAATGAAGCTACTTCCTCCCAGTACCATTTTTACTCGATCGGCAGATGTGGTACTTCACCCAAGGACACAAAATGTGCTACGAGTATTTTTAGAACTTCTTACAAATGAACTTCCTCCAAGTACCGATCGGTACTGGTGAGAAGTACCTTTTATTTGGGTCCTGCATCTTCACTAAAATATGAAGATGAAGAGCGATCAAATTTACCGAATTCAAACTTCGGAGAATTCTACAATGGCCATCTGCAGAGGATTGCCCCAACTTCGTCAAGATGTCTAGTTGCAGAGCTCAGTCACTGTTGGTTACATTGGTTACTGAACGAGCTGTTTGTTGGCCACTATTGGTAACCTTCAGTAGAATCGGAATTCGAAGAAGTAGGGATCCGTTCACCGAAAGTCGGTAACGTATCCCAATGATAACCGAGGAGACGCTGATAAAGTGAGCACCCAAGAGGGGGCAGATGTGCCATCATTCGGGCTCTAGCGCCCCTCTCCGTCAAACATGTGGAGTATCGTATCAGCCGGTTTGATAAACTAGCGCCGTCGCGGCCGCGACGTTGATGCTGTTGCTCATGAAAATGATCATGAAAATGCGCTTTGTTCATTTGAATACGAATGTAATGTGGAATGAAGGGTGCCATGGACGTTAGAATCACTCTCAAACTGATGAATTTTTCAAAACCTTACGTAATAGATTCTGATGATTTCATCGATTCATTTCACCAATTTATATTCAAATTCAGTTGGGATAGCAAGAAATTCAAATCTTCTTGTTGTTTTCTCAAATTAAAGATGTGTATTTTATTTCCTAAATGGTGAGATCCGAAGAAAATCGATTCCAATAGATTCTTGTTTCCATTCTCTATTTTCTCTAAAATCGTATCGCAAATTTCTTTGTTATCTATTGAATAGCGCCGCCAAGGCTGCGATGTTGATGCACTGTCATTATTCCTTTTCTCATCTTGGCGTGGACACGTCTATGTTTTCGTTATGAGGTATCATCTTGTGGAATTGAGTATAAGCCTTAGCGGAATCACATCATATTCTTCGTTTCATCGGCCAATATTCAATAAACTGACATTAAAACATGTAAAACATGTAACTGTACATATATGCTTATTCAAATAAATATGTATGAGAAAAAACTATGAAGTTTATGAAAGAAAAACAAAAACCATAGACGTATCCACGTAAAAGTACACCTGTATCAACAATACAGAGACTTGTGAATTTTTTACATTCTTTGTATTTCTTTCAAAAATTAATGATTCATCATTTTCTTATTATACTGAGTATTAAGATTACTATGTAAGCAATTCTTCTCAGTTCATCATTTCTTCGATTCCAATATTTCAATAAGCGATTCACTACTTCTGAATTCCTGTGCTCACTGAATGAGGTTGTAACTATGGATATTATCAAAATTCTATTCAGAATACAAAATAATAATACCCACAACCCAGAATTTTTTAGCCTTCTTTCCCTTCATTCCTCTTTACTCCTTTATGAAAGCATTCAATTATTTTTTAAAATTCGGAGTACCTACTCCTCGCATTCACGATTTTCTTCACAATTTAATTATTTGTCGATGGCATAAACTTTAAACTTTGATGAATGCTCTGAAATTTTGTGAAATATCCCACGAAATCCTGAATTTTTGTCTAAAATTGGAAATTGTTGTGGAATTGTTGAGAAAATTCAAGGAATTGATCGAATTTTTCAAATTGTGTTCTTATTGCTTATATTAATCAATTGGAGTGCCATGGTTAGGATTACATGACTCCTCCATATTAGTTTTATTCGAAAAATTCCCCCTTTGTCTATCAATTGTTCTTCCCTTATTGATTCACAAATAATTTACCGTTTGAGAGATACCGAAAATTTTCTCAAAATCTCGAAAACTCGTGGAGAATTCAATTTTTTTAGGCGAAAACCTCGTAATTGCTTTAAATTGGAAAAACCGCGAATCATGTTACATTCAGATAGAAACTGAAGATTCTCTGATTTTTTAAAGAACCTGCCAACTTCCTCGAAGTTTCTTTAATTCATCCTTTATTCGTCTTTTCAAAATAATAGTTATTAATGTTCAAAAATCTTCTCTCAATGAGTGCTTATATCAGAAATTAGACAAACTTCAAAATTTTCATATTAAGGGTTCAGTCTTAACAGTTTCGGTTTTGAATTATCTCAGTCAAGCTGAAGGATTCCATTCTCATATTTATGTCGATAGTCCTTTCCTTATACCCCTTTTTTTATCACATTGCACATTTCTATTTTCAATTCATTGTTCATAATCATGCTCATTGCAAAAACAATGCAAATGATGAAAAAAATGTCCTAATTTATTAGCTCCTAAATTTTTATATTACAATGAATTGCTTGTGCATGTGCTAATTAGCATGCTCGCTGAATGAGATTTTAATCTTTGTTACAATTCAACTTCTCAAACATAATTTAGAGAGTAAATTGCTGGTGTTCAATGTTTACTGATCTTCTGGTAGAAGTACATGCTAACACTGTTATCATTTTGCATTAGATAACTCAGTAATGCATCACTTCATGTTTGAGGCAGCATATTAAATATTGAAAATGAAAATGACAGATTGGCTTCTGCTCCATCCTTTTTCGTGAATCTTCATGAAAATTGTGAAATTCATCTTAATGATTCAGATGATATGATATGAATATAATCATTCTGGTTCTTTGCCATTATGGAGTCTTTAATCGCTATCTTTTATTCGTAATAGAATTTTTTAATTTGGGTATTATTATTATTTTTTACTGCGTTACATTCAGATTCTCCTATACTTAACACAAAAATTGTAAGATAATTTCATAACTCTATCCATTGATTCTCATCAGCTTGGTTTGGAGGAAACCTCAATAAACGCAACATTAAGAAAGTTGAATGATTCTATTTTCTTCTGACTTAAATTGATTGGAAAATTCTAATTGCTTCATTAATAAAAAATGCAGAGTACTTAGATATAGGATATTCATATACTGCATAATAATTCAAGTAACCTGAAAGTTTTGATTTTCATATTGCTAGAATTTACTTTTACTTTTCAATTAATTAAAACACTCCTAAAAATGACTACTTAATGATCCCTGAAATTTTAATTCTTTTTTCCATTATCTCCATTAGTAAAATTGCTCTTTGCTCATAATTATGGGGAACCATTTCAAAAATATAGAAAAATAATAGGAAGACGTCTTTTTGGTGTAAATTAATAAGATGATTGAAAAATCGAGATTTTCGGAGACCATGAGCCCTTTTTTTATGAATCATTCAATGATAATGAATATTTCATTCCAAGAATAATTTTTCCTAAATTGTAACAGATTTTCTCTACTCCCAGAATTTTACAAAAATAAATTTAATGTCAAAATAATTGTATTTTTAGAAGTGAGAACCATTCCATTATTCATTCTTAAGAAGAGAATCTTGAAAATTGCAAATATTTTCGGAATTTTGTTCGAAAAACTTTCTAGCTAATTCAATTGAGGAATTGGTGATTTCTCAATTCAAGTTATAACTCCGCTTTGTAATTCTCGCGCGCTGTTCTAAATAGCCCCATCGCATCGTCATGAACCGTCTCTTGTGGACTCGCCAAAAATTCTCCGGTGCGCCACGACACTTCGCGTCACTGTGCCATGAGGATGCGCAATGCGCATTTGTGGAGGCCGCCATGACAGTGCTCTCTTTTTTACGATAAGGACTCTATCAGACAGTTGCATTTTTCTTTGGTGGGAACATAATCAACAGCGTGATAAACTGTGCTGTTGGCTCGCCATTAGTGCATTCCACACAGTTATCCATCGTCTTTTGAGGTGAGTCGATTCTTCCATTGTGACACTCTTATTTGGAATTTTTAGAGAGTTATTTGAAATGTACTTCATGCTTTATCCGGAAAATCGATTTGACGGCAGACTGACACGGTTATAACTACTGTCGGCATTGAGGAAATGTAGTTATAACTACTGTAGTTATAACTACTGTCGGCATTGAGGAAATGCCGGTTTTCCGAGCGACGCGACTGGCGAGCGACGACTCTATTTCATAATAACAACAATATCATTGAAAAACATCTGTGTCAACGCCCGATAAATGTAGCTTGGGGTTCCTAAAATTCCAGTCGTAAATTACTGCTAACACAACATTTTCCGATTCTTGAGAAAAATGTGAACATTTCAGTAACTGAAAGCTGACATCAATGTCATTGGAAAACAGCTACGTCAACACGCGATAATTGTGTTACTGCATTCTCAAAATTTTCATCAAAAACTAATAACTAATATAACTAATAGAACTAATATTTTTAGATTGATCAGACAAAATTAAACTTCTGATTACCTGAAAAAAATGATTTACCGTAATTAAAAAATATTCAATCATGAATAATTTAACGGCTAATTCTTCGAATTCAAATTTACGCCAATAAAATTCCACGATTTGACACTATTTTGTATAGTCACCACGGCAACTAATATCACCTGATATTTTTTGACAACTTCACTGGTAATTTTTCAAGTTACTTATAGTAATTTATGTCGCGTCGTGCAATAAGTCGAGTTTATCGCACGCTGCGCTTCGCGCAGCCTGCTCAAAACTCGACTTCTGCACGACTTGACATAAAATATTATAGAGCACTCGGTAATAAATTTCGTTTTCAACGAATGTGTGTACAGACCTCGCCTTCGGCTCGTCCTGTAAACTACACATTCGTTGAAAACGAAATTTGTGCCCTTGTACTCTAATGTACTAAAAGAAAATCTTTGACGACTTGAATTCAGTAGCGAAGTGGTAAACCGGTATAAGTCGATTTTGACTATTGGCCAGTTTTCAATAGATATCTCGGAATCAGCTCTCAATTTGTTCTGCAAAACAGGTTATGACAAAAGTTTTGCCATTTCCCTTAGATTTTGAGATATTCATTGAAAACTGGGCAGTAGTCAAAATCGACTTATACCGGTTTACCACTTCACTACTGAATTCAAGCTTGCCTTTTTTCAACTGTTAATTTCGTCCCATGGTGCAACATTGAATACGACTTCAGCTCGAAAATTTGGGTATTTCCCTCGAGATTCCTTGCATACAAATGCACCTGTCAGGAAACATCCGATAATTGTGAAGCTCTTGTGATATTGTATGTGAATAGAATACGTAGGACTTTGCAAGAAAATTCAACGTAAATTATTCATTCCTGCAAAGATTTCAATAGAAATCAATGAATGTGAATCGTAAATGTAAGGAAAATCAGATTTTCCTGTACCGTGTCGATGGATTCAAATTTGAATCACCCCCGACACCCGATTCCGTTTTATCGTTTCTTTATCGTAAAATTATCGCGGATTGATTTCTCAGATCTCAAATATGACCATTTATCACCTCTTTCCAGATTGTTTTCGTGCAAAAAGATACTTTTTAAGATTCAAACAAAATGGATAAAGTACCGATTCTCGTGCCAGGTGACGCCGGCAAAACGAGACTAAAAAAATTGGCCTCACATTTTGAATCTCACCACGGAGCGAAGCCGGAATTTTTTATCCGCGTGCCAGGGCGGTAAATGAATATGGATTGATGTTCAAACGTTTGGAGCCCGAGCGTATTGAAATATTCAATCAATGACTGTTATTCATTCCAGAGTGAATTTAATTGGAGAACACATTGACTATTCCGGTTATGCGGTGTGTCCGATGGCTATTGAGCAAGATATGCTGGTGGCGGTGGGACAGCGTAAGGAGGATCGAATATCGATAACGAATATTGATTCTAAATATGAACAAGTCGATATCGATCTATCGGTATCATCTTTCCGGTAAATTTATCAATTCCTCTTACGCGGAAAAAATATACTCGAATTGAGTGTATTTTATACCAGAATCAAGTATATGCATAAACCGATTCAAGAACCAAATAGGGGATGGGTGTTTCAATTCGAGAATCATTATTTCGTATCAGTCCGGATTGTCCGAAGCGCTCTCAAGTGTAATATAAGGGTCAGGCATTAAGTGTGAGACTATAAGGCTCAAAAATGAGGGTCAGAATATTAAACTCGCTCCGCTCGCCACCCCCCATATGACCCTTAATCTGACCCTTGCAGCCCTTATTTAGACCCTTACTCTGACCTTTGTGACCCTCAATTTGACCCTCATGACCCTTAATCTGACCCTCATGACTCTTAATCTAAGCGTTGTGACCATTAATCTGACCCTGTGGCCCTTATTCTGACCCTCATGACCATTATTTTGACTCTCGTCTCTTTATTTCGATCCTTGTGATCCTTAATTTGAACGTCTTAATTTCAAGTAGGGGGTGGGAGGGCAAAACGGACCAAGGGGGCAAAACGGACCCCTGGGGGCAAAATGGACCCCTAAAAAAAAGTTTTTTTTTTCTCACGAATAAAATTTTCCAAAATTCATCACTGAATAGGAGGGGTGAGAGTAATGGAGGAGGTGGTGCGCGGTGGGTGATGAAGTTAGACGCCAGATACTATTTTTGAACCAGTTAAACCCCGCAGGAAAGTTTTTTCTTTCAATAATGACACCTTTTTCACTTCGTAATTGACTTTTATAATTTATTATTAGAGGTGAACGTGAAAAGTATACTGCCATTCATGAAAATTGAGAACAACATCATGGTAAGATAACTTCATCCTAATGAATACGAAAATGTCCACGTTCTAATCAAAAGTCTTGGTGAAATTGGATGGAATGATGATGAATAAGAACAATGGTGATTAATAACAATAATAAATAACTTGCATATCCCGGGAAGTTAATAATAACAGTGATGATTAATAAAAATAATAAATAATAACAGTGATGATTAATAACAAAAATAAATAACAATGTAGATGAATAACAATAATGAATAATAACAAATATAAAATATGAGGTTAGTAATAAATAATAAAGTTTTAGTCTGATTCTTTGCACTCGTCACAAAAAAAGTACGTGGGTCCTGCATTTTCATCAATGTTAGCACAGGTACAATGAGCCCAACCGTTGCAACTCTGGCACTGAATCCACTCCCCACCACTGTCATAAAAACGTTTTTCACAATAAATGCATGGAACATTGTCTGCATCATTGGATTTCTTTCTGATTCCCCTCAAACTTGCCCCCCGATCCGTTTTGCCCCGTTGGTCCGTTTTGCCCCCCCCCCCCTCCCTACCAATATTTCATCACCAGAAATATTGGCGATTTAGATTTTTATAATATAGAAACTGAGGGCCTGAATGTAAAGGTGAAGGACTGAGGGTCAGAATATAAAAGTAAAAAAAGTGGGTGTCAGGCAATGAGGGTCATATAAGGGCTAAAAACGGTGATCAAGCATAATATATGACTTATAGTTAGACCCTCATTGCCTGAAACCCACTTTTTTACATTTATATTCTGACCCTAATATTCTGAACCTCATTCTTCAACTTCTACTATTGACCCTTTTATTCTGACACGTAAGGTCACCCTCAATTTCACCCTCATACTACAACCCGGCCTGATACAAAAGAATAATCTTCAAATTGAAATACCTATTCCCCAATTGAGTGTTAAAGATAGTTGAATTAAGTGTATTTTATTCTTGATTAAAGTATAAAGTATACTTGATATAAGATAATATACTTGCATATTTTACGCTCAATTCAGGTATACTTTTTCCGAGTATCGCATTTTCTGACCAAACAACAACAATTCGTTCATAAATGTTTATAATCATCATGGAGATGAACAGATGAACAAATTATGCTTCCAGTGAACTGTTGAAAAAAGATGATATCAAGTGGTACAAGTATTTCGTGTGCGGGCTCACCGAAGGCATTGAACTAGTTGCCAAATCAGGACAGGAGTACATACGTGGCTTGAACGTATCAATTTGGGGAACGATTCCTCCCGCAGCTGGTCTCTCGAGCTCCAGCGCTCTCGTTTGCTCCGGTGTTCTCGCAATTACCCATGCTGACAAGGTAATAGAGTCACCGAGAAGTGGAGAACCTAAAAGATTCAATAAGAGGAATCTCCTGGAAACTAACTATGCGATGCTTGTTAAAACTTCAGCGACTTAACCGTCTGCCGACTTTTATTCATGCGAGGTATAAGAACAAGTCTTGAGAAAAAGTGCGGAAATAAAAATGATAGATCCAGATTATGAGACACAAAGTTGAATAATAATTATGGAGGGTTCGGGTTTTCAGATAGTTTAATTCCATTGTCCAAGGTATTTTACTCGGTGAAAATTTGTAAAACGACTATCACGCTTCCGCCTCGAGGCTATGTATCAAGTTGAAGTTTCCATGGGATATGACGTTGAATAATATTTGCGCATGAGTAAAGGGGATGTGTTGATTTAACATGACACCCACCCTGAAATTCATGAGTATCAGTAATTTCAAATCCATCTCTCATTATAAATAGAAGATTCATCGAGTCAACTAAGACGTATTGATCTTTTGATTAATTCACTCAAATAACCTGAATATTGCTAGTTTATGTTTGATGCAGAGTGCACTTGAGATTAATCGAAACGTAATTAACGGAGCGCTGCAGATCTTGCGATGTGATTCTTTCATACCATCAAATTTTGAGCGATGAGATTCAAAAATATGGTTATCAATGACTTGGGAGGTTTATAAACTAAATGACGAGAGGTTTTAAGGTCCATCTCCCAAGTTATCTAGTTTTTCCATTCAAGGTCCCAACATTAATCCCTCACGTATGAGGTTGATGCATTGCATCGACCCATGAAAATATGAATGATTCTCTTTAAAATTCATTATTTCCAAAACTATGGAATTTAATTCAACCAAATAAATAACAACGAAAAAAGGAGCTACACTTCAATTACATATCGGCTTCATAATTCTCCGTTAATTAGAAGTCATTACATTTTACTTGTATCGAGCGTCTCCACGCTTGGAATCAAAAGGGTCCCGCCCGTGACGGGTTAAGAACTTTTCGCTCGGTGATGAGTTAAAAATCGCGCTGTTGATCGTTTTAGATGTAACAAATTTTGGAAGAGCCATTCGAACCGAAAATAGCGTAAACGAAAAAAAAAAAACTTGAATTGAGTATATTTTATTCTAAAATCAAGTATATACATAAACCTGATTCAAGAATAAAATATACTTGATTCAAGTATATTTTATAATCAAATGGCAGATGGGTGTTTCAATTTGAGGATCATTATTTCGTATTACTCCGGGTGAGAATAATAACCAATTGAAAATAACATATACCTGAATCAAGTATTTTGATACTCAATTCAGGTATATTTTTTCCGTGTTGATAACTGTTCGCTATTTTCACGTAATCTTCACCTTCCTTCACATTCGTCACCAGCTGCATCAGCTAGCAAACAATGTTTTCCGGGCGTTTATAAACTAAACGACGAGGCTTTAAGACCCATCGCCCAAGTCATCCAGTTTTTCCATTCAAGGGCACACCATCAAGAGCCCCTTACGCGGTGATAAGTCAAGAATCGCTGTCGACCATGTTATATATAACAAATTTTGGAAAACCCATACAAACCGAAAGTAATTGACATTATCAATAGATCGCTATCTTTGCATAATCTTCATCTTGTCTTTCATTCGTCATCAGCTGTATCTAGCAAAGGATGTTCTCGCAACGCAAAGCGCAAAAGCGGAGAGACTGATTGGTACAGAGGGTGGTGGTATGGATCACGCAATAGCTTTCCTCGCTCAGAAAGGTAAAATTCTTACATCCCACATTTTCATTAAAGAACGTGATGAAAAGCTGCGTTATTACGACAGTGTCAGTGATTATATTGATTTTCCGTCCCAGGCACTGCAAAGCTGATAGAGTTCAACCCACTACGTGCCACAGACGTCACACTACCGTGGGATGCTGTCTTTGTTATAGCCGATAGCATGAAGCGGCACAACAAGGCTGCATTCAATAACTATAATACCAGAGTCGTTGAATGTAAGTTAGCGGCTAAAATTATCGCTAAAAAATATGGTGCCAGTTGGAGGGACGTTGAGATACTCAGTGACGTCCAGAGGATGCTGGGAAAGACATTGAAGGAGATGGCAGATATTGCCTCTCAGGCATTAACTGATTGTGACGTGTCAGAGGTAATCAGCTTCCTCTCATTCCCTATCATTTTTATTGACTTCTCCTCAAACTTCAGGTATGTAGAATTCTTGAAGTATCGGCGAGAGAGCTGTCAGCTCTTGTGAAAATTGACGACAATGATACGCGGAAATTCCACCTCCGCAAACGAGCTCAACACGTATTTGAGGGTAAACAATTTCACATCTTCTCTTAAATCGTTCACCTTGCATACAATTCTCCTAAATCGTTCATTCATTAATCTTGATTGATTGGTGTATCAGAGGCTGCCAGGGTTATCGAATTCCAGAGTGTTTGCAGCGGGGAGGGGAGTAACCAGATTCAACGATTAGGGGAATTGATGATTGCCAGTCATACGAGTCTGCGGGATCTTTTCGATTGCAGTATCACTGAGGTGAATCAGTTGGTCGATATGGCACTCGAGAGTGGGGCGGCTGGTGCCAGATTGACGGGAGCTGGGTGCGTATACATACTATGTTCGTGGAACAATAGTCCACGAATGCTGTACCAACACGGAACAAAATATAACTTAATTGAGAATAAAATATACTTGAATCAAACATATTTTATAGCCAATTGGGGGATGGGTATTTCAATTCGAAGATGATTCTTTTGTATGAGACCGGGTTGTAGCAAGAGCTCTTAAATGTAATATAAGGGTCAAAAAGTGGACGTTAAAAAATGAGGGTCAAAATATTAGGGTTAGCACATTGTTACGGAATAAAGTAAATGACTATTTCCCCTGTGTGAATGAGAATGGAATGGAACGGAATGCATAGTCTTTTGTACGATTGTAGTTTGTTTACTCTTGTGTACGAATGTCAGACTGATTGAAATGTTGAAATATTAACTTGAATCTCCTGTAATAATAAATATTCGCCCCCAATTTAACTGGATCGTTGTGACATCATTTCTAATACTCAGAACTGCAACAATATAAAAGTAAAAAAAAATGGGTGTCAGGCAATGAGGGTCTAAATATAAGTCATATTTTATGCTTTATCACCCCTTTTAGCCCTTATATGACCCTCGTTACCTGCCACCCACTTTTTTTACATTTATATTCTGACCCAAATTTTGTGATCCTAACATTCTGACCCTCTCTTTTTAACCTCCACTTTCATTTCCTATGACGTCACAAAGATCTGGAACGCTATATAAATTCCCTTCTTTAATGTAGAAACTTTTTGACCCTTATATTCTCACACTTAGTGTCTGACTCTTATGCCCACAGAGAAATATTGAATAAAAATGACGTATCTTTTCCGTAATTCCGTATCTTTTCCGTAATTTTTATCTAAAATCACGGAATGTTACCAGAACGTTCCGTAATTTTTATCTGAAATCTCTTGTGAAAAATTTCGATACCGTCACTTAAATTTTTTGAGTCGATTCCGCAATCGGTAAGCGAACTGTGAGTTCTGTCATTTTTGCTGATCATTTCTCTCCGTGTATTGCACTCGAGAGCGCTTGGTACAAGTCGGGCTGATACGAAATAATTATTCTCGAATTGAAAAACCCATCCCCCGTTCGAATATAAAATATACTTGAATCAAGTATATTTCATTCATGAATCAGGTTTATGCATATGCTTGATTCTTTTTTTTTTTATATTCGGCCCTTTCTGCCCTCTGATTGGCTAATCGGCCCTATCCAACCCTATGCATGCGGCTGTGGATTCTACACTGCACCGCATTCGCTTTCCTATAGAACATAGGAGTAGCATGGGAAACCACAGAAAACCCATGCCGGTACAGGCGGTCACTATATTAGCGACCTCCCGCTCGCCGGAGCCACCGGTTGAAAAACTCGGTTCCACGGGGAATCGAACTCACAACCTTTCGCACACTAGGCTCGCACCTAGCCGCTTCGGCCACCGACGTCGGTTATGCTTGATTCTGATATAAAATATACTCAATTCAAGTATATTTTTTTCCGTGAATGTTCCAGATGGGGCGGATGCATCATTGCATTGACAACCAAAGACAAAGCCGATGAATTTGTGACAAACCTGGGTGACAAACTCAGGAAGGCGTATGGTCTGAGTGACGAGTGCAACATGGAGACATTGATCTTCAAAACTGAACCGGGCCAGAGAGCCGCAGTCTACCTCGCCGATTCTTAGAAAACATTCCATGTTTGAATACGCAACTTTGTATAATGTAAATTTCAATAAACGTTACAAGCTCTAAAGTAGTCCTTCAATTAAACTTTCCGAAACTCGAGAGTTCCCCAACAAATCTTGAGTTACCAAATGCATGAAGGATTCATGACGTAACGGAGAATTATCACAGGAGAGTCAGAGTCAGATCTGGGTTTCGCTCACCAACTTATTTCTCGGGGTGTACAGTACATGTTGAAGCGTTGGGTTGCATCACGCAAAACACTGGAAGACTTCTCGACACTCGAAAGTTCTAATCCAGCCCCTTTTCAATCCTTGAAATGTCTTGCAGGGTAATTGTGAATGAAATGGGAACTTTGAAAATCATGAGTAAATAGCAATAAATTTTCAAAAGAGTTATGAATGCCTGGATATTTTCTTGCCTGATTAGAGATATGAATTTTAGGAGAGAGCAGGACAAAATGATACTACACAGCCCAATGGAATGTCGACTAAAAAGTGGTCGTGATAGAAATTTCAATTTTCATCGAGTTTGTGTGAAATGGTATGCCAGGAATGCCAAAGATTCACCTAGTCGAATAATGAAGGTCGACTACTCTATTGGAAGAAATTATAATTTTCAGCAGAACCACATTGAATTCGATTTAGGAGATAACAATCATGAAATGTCATGATTGTCACTTCAAAAAAAATGCAAAAGGGTTTTCAAATTTTTGAGCAGCAGGAAAACGAAGATTGCAGTGGAGGCAGCACTAAACGGTAAAAGTTTTGGCCATTGTTTTGATTAGTGACGTTTTTGATGAATCACTTCTCTGGAATAACAACAGTAGTAGGTGATTTTTTTTCGGATATTCATTTTTCCAATATTTGCATAAGGTGAGAAGTTATAAGATCGATTCACTGGCGGATAATTATTATTTTCGTGTTCTTTCTCTCGTACGCCCTTTCGGGTTTTCGGGTACGACGAGACCGAACGCGCCCTACAGCGTGCTGCAATTGTAATAATAATAATTGGAAATCTCAAAATTAAATGGATCCTGAATTAAATTTTCCGCCTAAGACGACTGTGAATCAATGAGGAATAAGCGTGACAGACTTGCGAGATATCGATAGTTATCGACTCTAAGTGTATGTCCTTTTTAGAATAAAGAACGATGGCGCGCTTGAGTGTTTAAAGGAAAATCGTGACACGAAAACCGAAAGCCGACCGAAGTCGAACACATGCGGGCGGTTCCGAATGTTCGACCAATGATATTCGAGGAATGAGCGTTACGCTACAGCTTACGGCGTATGTTCTTTTTAGAATAGGATGATTTGTTCCCTTCCCAGTCCCCAACCTCCAGTACCGCATTGGCCGAAGGACGGGGGAAACCCTCACTAGAGGGAAAAACCTGTTCAGGTAGGGGAGGGTAGGGCAAAACGGGCCACTGATAGAAAATTGATAATTTTTGTTTTTGCTTCCGAATGGAGCAAATTCGAAGTCATTTGAGGTTTGAGGTGATTGGCAAATCTGATCAAATTGCCGTTCAACGACACTTGTTGTCTATAAAACCCCTGTGACGGTTACGATCCAAGGAACCCACTTTTACTTCACCACATTCAGTGTTCCTGATTTCAAGGGGAAAAAAACAAAAATGAGCAATTTTCCGTCAGTGGTCCGTTTCGCCCTAGGGGTTCGTTTTGCCCTGCAGTCCGTATTGCCCTCCCGGTTCGTTTTGCCCTACCCTCTCCTATCTGAAGAATATCTAAAAAAGGTGTGTGAAATTTAGACATTCTTTTTTCCTATGAAATCAGGCGAAACGACGCTTATTTGGCGCGGATTATAAGTGAAGAATTGCCAATGCTTATCTCCCCGTAATAACGCTACATGTTCTTGTGAACGACCTCGAAATCGCCATGTGCGGACGTAATACAACTAACTTTTGAAGAAGCTAAACACAGACTCATTTCGCCTCAGAGTTGTCCTGTTCCCCTGTATTGCCGTCCCATCGGCAGATAATCCCACCCATCGTGCACGTTTCGCCTCCTTTTTTCGTTTCCGAAAGTTTTAAATGAGCCCAGAATTTTCAACGTCGGATAAATTAGCATTATAAATTTCAACGGTATCGTTCGCCCTGAAGCCCAAGTGACGACAGATCCCTCTGAATCCTTTCAAACTGTAATGTTATGAGTATACCAACTCGGCTAACTTTTGATTTATCTACTCTGACAAACAACTAGCCCACGACCTGCATCACCTGTCTCAATACAAAATCTTCATTCCCATGAATTTACCTCAAAATAATGGAAAGCGCATGCGTTTTTCCGTCGCAACGCGCGGTTCGTGGAGGGCCAATTCAACGGATCCTTGTAGTTTACCATTTCAGTCGGCAGCGAGCCATCCTTAAGTAGAGCCACCGTCATTTCTCTCCCGTGTCTAAATCATTCCACGTAATATCTGAAAATTTGCATCAAAGGTGTCCGATAAATCGAGGTAATTGGGTTAAATTCCGTTGTATCGCGTTCGACAGGCCTGTCTTAATGAACTGCACTACGTTAAATTGGATGAGGTGATGCTCCATGTGCTCGCGGCATGGCAATTATGCAATCCTGTTGCTGCTGGCGATCCGTTCGCAGGGGAAGTTTCGCCTGTGCCATCTACACCGGGGTAAGTTATTCCATTAACCTAAGTGATTATTCCACTCCCCCTCGTTATGCTCCACCCACCTGAGATAAAATATAAATGTAGATAAATAATAATTTCCCACACGGAGAGAAAAATTCAATAAAAATTACCAGAAAAAAACGTAAAAATTGTGTTTCGAAACGGAATCCGCGGGCGAAGTAAAATTCCGTAAAAAGTGTGGGTCGGAATTGGAATTGTACGAATCGCCATGAAAATTCTACGATTTGTTCCCTAATTTTAGGGAACGGAACGTACAAATAACTCACCAGCTTCATAAAAATTGATGAACGTTCAAGAAGTTTTTATTTTGGAGGCATAATAAGTCGGCAAGTTTCTGTAAAATTTTACTTCTTCGGGAAAAATTACGTGACAATTTCGTACTTTGTTCGGTGATGGACCTGAGAATTCACTGAACATTTCAGATTTCTTCTCTTCCATTCCTATAAAAATTGCCAGAAAACGATTCCCCATTGCGGATTACGTGAATTGTTCTGTAATTTTTACTGATTATTTTTCCAACCCAAATATCGGGCAATATAATTGGCTCATTCGACATCACGTGGTACAAGCTACAGGGTTTTCAACTGATAATTTTTTGATAATTTTCTCTGGTAGTTGCTATATAAAAAACAAAACATCATGCAGTCGAATTAACCCCTCGTCAAACTGACAGATTGAATTCAATTGTGGTAATCCGAGGATTTTTATTCGAAATGAGTGTTAATTATACAATTTACGTTTCTCAATTGTGAGTTTCATCTCATGGTCCAATTATATTGCCCGACATTTGGATTGGAAAAATAATCCCCCGAATACCACACGAGCTTCGAAATTAATCGGGCATTTTCCTCAAGGTTCCCTGGATACAAACGAAATCGTCAAGTTTTTCAGGAAAAATTGACTCCTTCGTTTGTTTGCAATGAACCTATCGGAAAATACCCGATAATTTTGAAGCTCTTGTGGTATCACAAGTGAATATTTCTCTCCGTGCAAAAAAATGGATTACGTGAGCACACATTGTATCTCACCTCCCCTATTTTTGTCTTTTTCCCCCTTATGATTCGATCTTTCTGCGCGGGGATATCGAAGGGACAGATGTCATGTCTTGAATCGTCTTTGCAGGGTACGTGGTATTTCCATATTCCCAAGCGCTCACTCACAATAAAATTCTCGAGTTATGTCACCTCCTCATGACAACCATCCATGTTTAATACATCTCCGGGGACTCTTTGTTTGTGAAATGTTAGCAGGAGTTACTATTCAATAAAACGGTGTCACTCAAGATGTCGGAATATATAATGTTTGATCAAGTCACCACAATTTCATGCTGCGGGAGACAGGAGAAAACTCGCGTCAAACATTACCCAGTTGTGTATTCATCCCCGTGAATTCATGCCCCTATTTGTTATTTTCAGTCTCTGATTTTATGGAGTGCATTCTAATTCGCCCCACAAAAAAGCCGATGACATGCAAGTTTTATTTTCCTGTCGAACGCGAAACAAAGAGCACTTCCGTGGGGCAATAGCTAAATCCTACTGACGTGATTGTCCACAAAAAAGCCGAAGCCTGATAGCTATTCGAGTAAAAACTCCGGGGCAAAGCAATCAAAGCGGATGGAGCATAGAGAGTAAAGTGCAAAACAATAACTCGTGCCGGTTTCACGATATTCCAAGGGGACTTATGAGCGAGGTAAACACCGGAAAATGACAACAAATGGATTAGAAAAGTGGCAATATAACTCCGACATTAGGAGACAGAGTGGAGGAAGTTGTGAGAGGAAAATTGAGCTTGGCATGTGATATTGTCTGGGGACCGTCAGCTCATATCAAATTTTTCCCTGGGGTTTAATGAGCGGGGGCGAGCTTCTGCTTCCTCGACGAGTTCACTGGAGGTGTCTAGTGGATTTTCTCGACCCCCTGTGTAGCGCCAATATCTCGTTACTTTTTTCCCTCGTTTTTTCAGGTTCACAAAATAAAACAAACGTGACGCCTTATTCCCGTAGTATTTCACAAACGCGACAGCCACTTGTCTGACGACACTCGTATTGAGGACATGTGGGCAGGAGGAACGGATAGAGCGGTGTTTACTCAGGGGTGCCAATAACGGAAGAGCGAACAAAAAATACTGATACCAGCAAAGAGAGATAATTGAATTCACGGTTGTCTAGTTGAGGAACTCCCTCTGGAAAACTTGAACGGTTGATTTGTCTTCAAATCGTTTCTATGACTATTGAAGTGGTGGATAGAATTTGACAAAATTTGGTCATGTGATCAAATTACACTATGCTATCGTCAACCAACTGTCATACACTGTTAGACATTTTTTGAAATTTCATGGATAATATGGGAGTAAAGGCTGAAGGCCCTCGGGTAATGGCCATTTGTAAGAATGTATGTTTCTTGCAATAAATAACGTTAAACGTTAAAGTTATGGGGGTAATTATCATGATTTTGGGAAAAAATGGCTTCGAAATTTCAAGTTTCAAGTAGAATTCACGGAAATTCATGAGTTTTCAGTGGAAGTGAGAGTGAAATTTCATAACGTGATTGATTTTTTATTGAAACATGAATAATCAGAAGCAAAATGCCAGGAATTTTCCATGTTTCTCTAAAATTTCCTGATTTCTTCGAAGTTTCATGGAATAATTGAATTGAAAAATAATGCATTTTATTAATTTTCAGATCATTAGAACAGAAAATCAATGGAATCTTTGATTTTTTAATGACGGCATTTCCAGGAATTTCAGTGGAAAATAAACATGATTAAAATTTCCGGGATTTAACACGGAAAATTCAGAGGAAAATTTTTAACAGTATATCCTATCTCAATAATTGCTCATTTCCGATTTTCGTCTTCTGCCGAATTTTGGTCTCTTCCGTTCAACCTCTCAAGGACGGCGCCCGTTTGTCACTAACCGCAACAACGCTTTACATGGCAACGCGATTCATTAACTTCCAAAAGCCCAAAAATAATATAAAGTGGGAATAATCAAAGCGATTGTTCTTCCCAACAGACTTGAGATAAATTTGTAAAATTCTATATTGTTGGAAATATTCAAGTTTGAAAAGACACACACACTCACGCGTATACGAATATTTTGAAGATATTTACGGAAAACTATTTAAAAACCAATCGCTTTTTCTCAAACACTATTAGATCGATCGTCGGAAGTTTTGCACAGAGTTAGTCCTAGCGCTTCACCGAATGTAATTAGTTCTACGATAGGTCTTTCGCCGCATCGTGTATTTTACGATTTTGTGAAAAAGAAAAGTTTGGAAAAATTCATTTATTTGCAGTTTACGAGTAATTTTAACACTCTGTTGGTTTTTTATTTATTTATTATTACTCTGTTTGTTACGCAAAACTTATGAACGTCGTTGGTGGCATCGTGAGCATAGTTCCGTACAACAAAGAATGGGCTTACAATTTCTTTACAATTAAATACAATTAATGGAACAATTGAACAATCCACTTGGGAGCATATCATTGCAGAAATTCTCCACGAAAATTTCAGAATTTCTCCACGAAAATACATGAAAATATGATCTTAAAAAAAACTATTCATTTGAAATAAGTAAATTGTTTGTTTAATATAATCAAATCCTTTATCTTGAAACAAGTAAACAAGTCTATTTATTTGTAACAAAAATGTTCTTGAAATAGGTAAAAAATTTCGAAATGAAGATTTTCTCTGGGTGGAGGATTTTTAGTGCCAGAAAGTAAATCTAACCCTCAGGATTCGTCTGTATAACAGTCGGTATCTGAAACGAGCCAAATAATGACAAAAAAATGGGGTCGGCTGATCGTCATATGATAATGGTCAATTTATCATGGGACAAAAATAAAAGAGTTGGTCATATGTACGGTCCTATCTATAACTATAATCATGGTTAGAGTATTGTGGGAGACCTCAGGGGTCGAATAAATTCATTCGCTCTCCAATAGAATACACAAGGACCCTGAGCTGAATCGCCGAATATCCCATACACAAGTTGCATCTTAAACTGGAATCGATTGGAATGATGCCTGGAAGGCTCAAGATATCGCAATGCTCCACTAATATCGACATACGATTTCCCCCGGAAATTATTCTCCGAAGATTTGACAACTCCATTCACTTCAAAAACACGAGCAATGATGAAATCGTAAAGCTATGATAACATTGAAATGACAAAAATTGAAAAATTCTTCCTCTGATACTTATTGCTCGTAAAACCCGGGAGAGAAACTATAAAAAAAATATAATGTTGAACACGAAGTTCTTCGAGAGCGAACTTTCAAGCGTCCGTAAACCGCACGAGACTTTCCGGAACATTAAGTACACGTCGACTGCAGTGGATAAAACGAGTTATAGAGTAGTGCTACAAGAGTGATATCGATTCCGCGAAATGAAAAACTTGGAAGCATCATTTAATCAAGAGTGCGCCTAATTTAAATTTCGAGAGTTTGAAAGAATCTACGAAGAAATGGTCAATAGTTGCCCGAGTCGAGGATTTGGTTCCGATTGGACGTACACAGGTCTTTCAAGATCTCTCCAGACCTAGATGGACCTGGTAAGTCCTAATCAGTTCTGCGACGTACTTTTCCAGAGACCATTCGAATCCTCAGTTCTTTTCGGTCCTGAGAAGTCCTCCTCGATGCTACCGAGAACGCGTGATTTTACGAGCGGG